TTTTTTCCCATGTAGGACCTTCAAATAATCCATTTTGGACAGAAACTCCACATTACAGTTATATTGACTGGAATCATCCAGATCAAGAGAGTTGGTATCGTGGTTTAGATGTCCCTAATTCTTGGAGAGTTGGCGACGAGCTATATATCGGCCTTCGTTTTCACACAAAAAATGATGTACAGATGGCTGTTAAACATTATTCTATGAATGCACATCAAACTTTTGTTGTTGTTGAGTCTGGCCAAAGGGTTTTCTCTGTCAAATGCCCTAATAGCAATGAAGGTTGTCCTTGGAAACTAAGGGCAATTATGTCTAGTAAATTGAACAACAAATGGGTCATCAAGAAATGGGGCGGGACACACACATGTATTAACCCCATGCTATCTCAAGATCACAACAAATTGGACTCTGAGTTCATATGTTGTTGTATATTAGGTTAGTGCATATTTAACTATGGAGTTAAAACTTATCATATGACTTTTTCTAACATGGTTATCATTTATTTGTAGGTATGGTTAGGGAAGATGCTTCCATTTCGATTTCTCTAATTCAAGAAAGAATTAGTGGACAATTCAACTATAAGGTGTCGTATCGGAAGGCATGGAAAGCCAAACAAAAGGCAATTGAGAGGGTTTATGGTGACTGGAGTGACTCATATGATCTTCTACCAAGGTGGTTGGACAGGATGGTTGAATGTTGTCCTGGGTCTGTGTATAAACTTGAAACCACTGAGTACGTGTCAAACAATATAGTGGATCCAAATTTCCGTCAATTTCGTCGAGTCTTTTGGACATTTAAACCAGCATGTGATGCCTTCAACTACACTAAACCCATTATACAAATAGATGGGACATTTTTGTATGGAAAGTACCGAGGCACACTACTAATCGCTACGACACAAGATGGAAATGCTCGTGTGTTACCACTTGCATTTGCAATAGTAGAAGGAGAAACACTAAGCGATTGGTCATGGTTTTTGTCTAACATTCGTCGGTATGTTACGAGAAAACAAGGTATTTGTTTAATAAGTGATCGACACCAAAGCATAAAGTCAGCAGTGGCAAATGCCCAAGGGTGGCAACCACCTCAAGCATATCATGTATATTGCATTCGACACATCGCTAGCAACTTCAACCACCGATTCAAGAATACTAAACTTAAAGAAGAATTGATTAACATAGGTACTAAACGCTTTATTGTTTTTTATATGGTGTAATGTTTACTTTAATTTTATAAATATTAATACATAAACTTCTTATATGGCAGGGTACACAACCAACAAGCATAGATTTGAAAGAAGGTTGGAAAGGTTCCGTGAGGTCAGCCCTGAAATTTGTCGTTGGATTGATGGCATTTCCCTTGAAAAATGGGCAATCGCACACGACGAAGAAGGACGTCGATATGGACACATGACAACAAATTTGTCCGAGGCAGTCAACAAAGTCCTTAAGGGTGCACGAAACTTGCCTATAACTGCGCTAGTTAAATGCACGTATGCTAGGTTGGTGGAGTATTTTATTCAAAGGTTAGGTCAGGCAAACGCTGACCTTGCTCTGGGTAAACGTTACTGTCAGAAGTTAATGGATGCTATGGAAACAAATCAACAAGAAGCAACCTCTCATTTCGTTCGCAGGTATGATTATGAGTCTACAAGATTTGAAGTTGAAGAAATCTTCAATGCAGTCACACAACGAGGTGGGAAGGTTTTCAATGTTTTTCTAAATGAAAGAAAATGTGAGTGTGGTGCTTTTCAGGCGTATAGATATCCATGTTCACATGCAATAGCAGCCTGTGCACACGTTCGTATAGATCCATTAACTTTTGTTGATGCCGCATACACTAACGAATACATCAAAGCGGCATATTCAGGTCAATGGTTCCCACTTGGAAGTGAAGAAAATATTCAACCTACTAATGGACCTCGTATAGTTCCAGATGAGACAATGATACGTACAAAGGGACGCCCAAAATCCACGCGCATTAGAAATGAAATGGATTGGACTGAATCCCAAAGGAGGCAACGATGTGGACATTGTAGGCGTGAAGGGCATAATAGAACCAATTGCCCTGTGCTGGCTGAAGATGTATTCAATAACGCATAACAAGTTTGTATGTTGCTGTGTATTTAAAGAATAAAATTCCTCCATAGTTATATCATATGTCAATTCTAGTTTAATTAAATTGTTCTGTTATACAATAAAATAATTACAACAACGTTTACAGTAACTATTAATACATATACAATTTACTTCTTCAACGTATTCTCGTCTTTCTGGAGCATGTAACCAGCGTGGTCCGGTGGCATATCAACTGTAAAAAAAATTTGATATTAGTAAAGTTAACATTTAGGTAAATAAATAAATATAGAACAATCAATTAAGTTTAAGTACTAACAACTTATTATTCAAATTACCTATTCATTTCTCCTCATGTGCTGCTCATGGGGACTTAGGATACATTGTCGTTGTCTATGGCGAGCACCACGATCTGGGTTCCTCCGAACTAACTCATCACCATCTCCCTCTGGGCTTCCAGCTTCCCCTGCTAATGCTGTATTCAAATCATGCCCTAAACCTGGATGATGGGAGGACGATTTAAATAATTACTTGTGACATATTTTCAAATTTAGTGTACTGATGATATTTGTTATGTTATTTATAGACCGATGTTCTAGAACACATTTATCATGGCACCAGTGAAGAATATAGGGATGCCTTTGATTTTACCATGATGCATGAGAGCATCGGTAACTGCTTGCAGTTGCGAGACGAGGTGAGCAGGGTCAGTTTCCCTTTTACACCGGCTGCAGCTGCAGCATTACCACAAGCATACGAAGTTCAGGTGGAGCACATTGGGGCGGGTCGACGAGAAGGAAAGGGACTAAGTCGTCGACGAAGGCGAGTTGAACACCAGGGTTTATAGATACTAGTTCCTCCGACTGAGCCACCAAAGGAGAAGTTAATCTTTCACTTTTCCTAGTGATCTCCATCAAATATCCTTCTAATTACTAAATATGATTATGTTGATGGAAACGTTAATTTTAGTATTTCGGAAAGTATTATCTAGAATAGTAAAATTATTGTTCCGGAAAGCATTTTCTAGAAGTGTGTTTCTTATATAATTTCGGAAAGTTCTTTCCGGAACATTAAATTTAGTATTCCGGAAAATATTTTTCGGAATTATGTAACAAGAACACTTCCGAAAAATACTTTCCAAAATAAAAAATTTACTATTCCTAAATATACTTTCCAGAACAAAAGCTTTATTATTTCGGAAAATACTTTCCGGAAGAAATAGTGAGATAAATTACTTGGAGGAAAAAATGCATATGGTTTGACACATTTCCCTTCAATATTGAACCCACTTACAACTTATAACAAAACTAAAAAGGGAAGAGGATAATGCAGAAATTGAAAAAGGAAGAAGGGGAGGTATGGAGGTGTGGAGAAAAAAGTAAAGAAGAAGAAACAGGATGCACAAAGAAGAAAGAAGAACGGTGAGAATGGATGTGTGAATCTGAAAAATTATAAGTTAGAAAATAATAAATTCCTAAATTATCCTCAATATTTTTCTAACTTATAATTTTTCAGATTCATACTTCCCTTCTCACCGTTCTTCTTTCTTCTTTGTGCACCCCGTTTCTTCTTCTTTACTTTTTTCTCCACACCTCCATACCTCCCCTTCTTCCCTTTCAATTTTTACATTATCCTCTTCCCTTTTTAGTTTTGTTATAAGTTTTGTTATAAGTTGTAAGCGGGTTCAGTATCGAAAAAAAAGGTGTCAAACCATATGCATTTTTTCCTCCAAGTAATTCTTCTCACTATTTGTTCCGGAAAGTGTTTTCCGGAATAATAAAGCTTTTGTTCCAAAAAGTATATTTAGGAATAGTAAATTTTTTATTCTAGAAAGTATTTTCCGGAAGTGTGCTTGTTACATAATTCTAGAAAATATTTTTCCGGAATACTAAATTTAATGTTCCAAAAAGAACTTTTTAGAATTATATAAGAAACGCACTTCTAGAAAATGCTTTCCGGAATAATAATTTTACTATTCCGGAAAATACTTTCCGGAATGTTAAAATTAATATTTCCATCAACATAATCATATTTAGTTAGAAGAATATTTTAAGAATTTTATTTTAAAAAAAGAAATTAAAGATGTATTTATAAAAAATAAGAGGTGTATATATCATCACCCTTATTAAATTTAGACCAAGTATGTCATAGGCCCAATATGTCAGTCCAAAATACTTTTCCTTTCAGGTTTTCATTTCGATCGTATTCTCTTTTTAACATTTGCTAGTAATTGCATAGAATTTTTTATAAAAAATAAAAATAAAAATCGAACTAAATAGTAATATTTAAAGATTATATATTTTATACAAAAATATAAAAGTCTATATATATAAATTTAATTAAAAAAAATTGGGAGAGGGGGAGACTGCCATTAACCTCAATTATATTAACAACTCCACTTCACTATGCATACTTTTACCTTGTTGTTATGCTATGAATTTTACGGATTTGACTTTCGAATTGTCTTTATATGTATCGATCCCAATCATCTGGCAATCCTATCATCAAGGAGAAACAACACTATCACAAGTAAGAGAAGAGATTCCGTGGATAACTCACATCTTAGCTCTTACAAGCTACAAGCTCTAAACATTAATTATCTCTTTTCAACAATTGTGCATATCAATTATGTTTTACTATTTTCCTAATACCATATTTCTTTTTTCCCTAATCCTTCGAAAATGATCACACCTTACCTTACTAACAAAACTGTGTTCGTTTTAATAAATAGTTAAAAAAAATGGTCCAAAGGGTCAATAAGCAATCATTAGTGGTTTGGTGTTGTTGCAGATTATAATCAATTATTGAGCCTTGTTTCCAAAGCTTGATTAGCCGAAGGATGATTCAATTCATTCTGGTTTCTGAATCTCGAATTTTGTTTAGCATTGTATTTCCTTTCTGCAGAAGAATAACAACTTTATGACAACATAGTAGCATATTAGGCCATGATTGTATTGGCATGCTGACAACTGCATGCATTTGAGTACCTAAAGCAGTGTTTCTTTTCATTGATTTGGCCAGTTCTCTATCGTCCTTTGTTGGCATTTGATGTTGTGTGTTTGGTCCCTGCTTTTCCAAGTTTACTACGAGGATCATGTCTTATCTTATGTTGGATAAAATTTTGGAGAACAGATCAAAAGTTGTCTTTAGTGGCATGCTAGCTGCTTTCAACCCTAGCAATGGATTCTGTTGTGAAGAAGATGAGCAGAATTTATGCTGCCAGAGAAGTCACTTTGAAAGCAACTTCAGCTAACCCCTCTCTCCATACCCAAATACGTGTCAGAACATTCTTTATGAGGAAAGGAAAGAATAGGTATTACCTTTTTTCAGGTCCTTCACTTGCTGATGCTTCAACGTGGCAACCCATATCAGAAGCTTATTCTTTGACGTGGCACTCCTTCTATGGCACAACCCAATGCATTGCGTCCGTCTCCCTTTTTTCATGGGATCTTCCCCGCTTTAGCCTGAAGCAAATAGTAGATGCAATCAATGTTTTTTAAAGATGGACATGAAGCCACTTCCACGTTTTCTGTTAGATTCTTTTATTATGGTGCCTACTTTCTAGTTTAGTTTACAACATTTAAAATTAAAGTTTCTTAAGTACATGAGAAAAATGACATTATGATCTTTTTTTTATTTCATTTGGTTATGTTGGTATTAGTGATTTGTATACGTGGTTATCTAGAGACAAACCTCCTTGAGTTGAATAAGATCAGTAAAGGTTTTTTTAGAATATTTAATACAATTATATATCAAAGATTTAAACTCAAAATTTATAGTTAAGTTAGAACAATTTCACATGAGTTAATTCAAGCCTTGAATGCTGCATCATAGTAAAAGCATTAACATCAGCATATGCTGTGTTTTCTTCTATCATACCCCACTTTCATATGAGCTTTAAATAGTTTAGACATGTATTTCTACAATTGGATGAAGGAAAAAAAAATGAATACCTTACTGCTGGTTCCTGTTAGGTTGGTGACGCAAGTATAGGTAGGAATGATAATTGTCCACGGTGGGATCCTTATCAAGATAGGAGATAGGAGATAGTAATGAGAGAAAGGAAAAAATAAGCCACAATCTGCCAAACTTGAAAAAGACCAAGAAACCAGATTCTGATCCGCTTCCTTCCACCACTCAAAACATTAAGATTTTTAACTCTTTACGAAGGAACGAATGTGACCACTCACATGCAAGAAGAAACAATATGCTATTGGAGAAGGGGTTGAATGAGTCCTTTCACTTGAGTGTGGCGGAGGAATAAAGAAAGAATAGAGAGAGTATCTCTTCTCCAACACTTATTTCTCCTTTTAAACCGTTTCGCTTTCCTGAAATTGATGAGAGGGACATGATGGACCATGGTAAAATTCTCATGTCAATCATTAGGAATTTTTCTCTCTTAATTTGTTTCCCTCTTTTGGTCACTTGCTTTCATTATTCTCTGTGCACCATGCCTTGCCACAGTAACCATGTTTGTTCTGTCCAACTTATGCTAGTTTTACATGCATAAACACTGAACAAAGATAGCAAGTGGAGTACTTTATATATGTAATATGTAGCCCTTCAGGCTTGCCTCTACAGTCTAACATTATTGCTTGATCAATTAATTGCCTTTTTGTAGCAATTGTCCATGATCTTTAGATCTCAACAAAAATGCACTTGCAAAGACAACACAATCAAATAATTGAATTGGACACTCTTAAATTTGAGGTTGTTTTCCCCGTTGCCATCACATTCAACTAATTGGTTAAAGTGCAACGGATATCAGTGTTTCAATATTCCATTTGGAACAACAAACAATGCGCCACGTGTCTTACAAAAATCCTGTGTAGAGTGAAAACCAGTTGACTTTTTTCGCACATTTTCTTTTCTTTTTACATAAATATTAAGATTATTGCGTAATAGTGGGCGAGAGTGCATCTTTTATTTACAAGAATAAAAAAGAGATAATGATATTTGTGTGCAGAAAAAAGGACTGGTTAGAGATTTGTGGGAAATAGAAATTAAATAAATAAATAAAAAATAGTGGAAGAGAGTGATTTAAAAGTAAGTTATAACAATAAAATAATTCAAAAAAATTTGTACACACAAATAAATTAACCTCTTTATATATTGTTATGTTATAGATGTGGGTATTTTCATGAAATCAAATTCAAGTATTAAAGAAGTTTACAACACCTTGATCAATCATAAGTTTACAAGTTTATATTTTAGTGTTGATTCTTAAAACAAAAATGTGATTATCTACTAAATTATTAGAGTTACATATAAACAAGTTATAATTTCCTACATATCACTATTACAAATTTTAGGGAATAATGTGTCCACATTCACATTCATATGATATAAAAACCATAATTAATATATTTAACTAAATGCTTTAAATTATATTTTAAGGGGAAGAAGAAAAAAATTCATGCAGAGAATCATGATTTTAAAAAAT